GGTGGTGTCAGGTGGGTGAGTGGGGGGTGTGCGTGGTGGTGGTGTCATGTGAGTGAGTGGGTGGTGTGGGTGGTAGGGGGCATCATGTGAGTGAGTGGGAGGTGTGCGTGGTGGGGGGCAGTACGGGAGAGAGTGGGTGGTGTGAGTGGTGGTGGGCATCATGTGAGTGAGTGGGTGGTGTGGGTGGTAGGGGGCATCATGTGAGTGAGTGGGAGGTGTGCGTGGTGGGGGGCATTACGTGAGTGAGTGGGTGGTGTGAGTGGTGGTGGGCATCATGTGAGTGAGTGGGAGGTGTGGGTGGTAGGGGGCATCATGTGAGTGAGTGGGAGGTGTGCGCGGTGGGGGTGCCATGTGAGTGAGTGGGAGGTGTGGGTGGTAGGGGGCATCATGTGAGTGAGTGGGAGGTGTGCGCGGTGGGGGTGCCATGTGAGTGAGTGGGAGGTGTGCGTGGTGGGGGGCATCATGTGAGTGAGTGGGAGGTGTGGGTGGTAGGGGGCATCATGTGAGTGAGTGGGAGGTGTGGGTGGGTGGGGGTGTCATGTGAGTGGGTGCATGTTGTGCCTTGTGCAGGGGCCATGTTGGTAGGTGGGAGGTGCATGGTGTAGGGCCATGTTGGTGGGTGGGATGTGCATGGTATAGGGGTTATGTGGGTGGGTGGGAGGTGAATGGTGCAGGAGCCATGTGGGTGGGTGGGAGGTGCATGGTGCAGGGGCCATGTGGCTGGGTGGTAGGTGCATGGTACAGGGGCCATAATGAGACTGGCTGGTAGTACTGTGGTATACAGGTCTGAAATGAATGGTTAACGGATAATAAACTTAGAAGGTTCACTTACCACATTTTGACTATCCAAAGATCTGCTCAAAATGTAGACGTCTCTATGTTGGTTCCATCATTTTCTCCTCAAATTTCTGCTCGCACTAATACGTGTATCACAGTATGTATGCGCAGGATTAGCAATGAACTTTTATCAAGATAATCGAATGAGCGCCCTGTGCTGAATCAGTTCTCAGTTTGACGTCTAATACTTATGGTTGATGACGCATGATGCAAATCGAAGTAACTTCAAGAATTACAAATAATTTTCATCTTATCTCTTATGCATTACTCCGAAAAATCATTTTCATGAAACATAATTCATTAAACACAATATCGTGTTAAAAATGTATTTGGATTTTTGTTAATGTATAACAGACTTGAGGGAGTCACATGCCTGATGTGAAATTGAAGAAAACAGCACTGAGATGGATAGTATTTTGACTTTGGACTTGCATTCATTTTGTCTCCTGTATATTGCATGCGAATACATGTATGTTACAATCGATGAAAATTATTGCCAAAATGAATGCATAACGAAAGTGGAAGTGATCATAAACGACCATTACAGAGACTCCCCTATTTATGAACAGGTTCGGTTCCGAGCGGTTGTTTGTAAGTCCAACATATGTACGTATACAGTATTTGTACAGTAGTGTAGTATGTGTATGTGTGAACATCGAGTAACCTAGAAGTGTGCAAACTATTGAGTAACATACTATTGTTCACATCTCGGCGCTTCCCGCGCTACATTGCCGCCACCACGTGGCGGATCTGCGAACTAAACATTACGCCTAAATTTTCGACTTCAGGGCAAATTGTTCGTATCATCGAAAGTTCGTAAGTCGAATGTTCATAAGTAGAGGAGTCTCTGTATAGTATATCCGCAGTGATTTCGATCCCGTGATGTGTGTCCGTGTTTGTTGCAGTCATCAGCGCACCTTCGTGATGGAGCTGATGGGAAGACACTGCGGCTACCTTGGCCTCGTTACCGGTCTCGCCTCAGAAGCTGACTTCATCTTCATCCCGGAGTGGCCGGCCAAGGTCAACTGGCCGGAGAAGATGTGCGGACGACTGAGGCGGGTATGCTGGCAGCTGCTTTCTAGTTGAATCAGTAATCAGTGCGGAGAGACCGTGATGAAAGTGATGACCTCCTTATCTACATGCTGACTATGATTCCTTTCCCCCAGGATTGTGTCTGGTCCTTGCTGACCCTACTGCCTTACCTTAGATACTGTCTGATTCTCTCTGACTGTACACTCTTACATTATATATTGGCTTCTTTTCTCTGACCACATGCTCATACCTTAAATTGTGTCAGCTCCTTTTTTGTAATTCCCCCCTTTTCGTGAATGTGTATCTGCTGCGTGCTTGTTCATTTGAGTGTGAGCCGTATTTTTTCAGGCTGTATGTTTGGCATAGGTTCTGTTCACATTTCACAATCTCCTGTTGCCATTTATATTCAATCTTTTATTGGCAGGTCTGATTCTGCGATATCCTGCATTAGATTATTGATTTTCTTTGTCGTTTCTTCTTACTAATTGGTTTCAGCACTTCTTTTTCATCCAGTTTTCATCCCATGCTTCTAGTGCAATATCTCCACTTTTGCTCCACAATTTCCTTCACCCACATATGGCTGACTCATGGCCCATTAGTTTCATCTGTTCACAGCATATCCTGGTCCATGTAGAGCTGGAGTTTTTACGTATGAACAATTATTCAATAACGTATATTTCCAGAAATAAGAAAACAGGACAGTGTGCAATCTTGAAATCCGTGAAGTTTTAAATTGCTAACATTTGGAATGATTAGTTTGCATGTATGGCATGATGCTGGTATTTTTCCTGATAATGATTTTTTTTTGCCAGTCACGAGAGATGGGCCAGAGGCTTAACATTATACTTGTAACCGAAGGTGCTATTGACGTGAATGGTAATCCCATATCAGCAAAAGACATTCAAAGGGTATGCATCTGCAGTCATCCAATCTCGTACATCAAACCATGTGGCTTCAACACTGTAATATGTAACAATATAACAGCTAAATATATATTTACTAGATAATCTAGTAAAGTTGATTGATAGGTGGCAGAAGTAATATGAATTACAATACACTCGTGCATTTTTCGAAGAATTTGCGAGTATCTGATATGAATCACAGGTGCACGTTTACGTGCAATGCTTATACTACATTAATAATTGATTTTTTAGAATCTATATGATATCATTATATAATCATTAAATAATCAACTTATATAATATTTTTTTATGATAATTAACGATTTTTTATTGATTAATGTCGATTAGGTGATTGAGGAGGAACTCAACCAGGATGTAAGAATCACTGTGTTAGGTCACGTGCAGCGCGGAGGCAAGGCATCCGCATACGATCGCATATTGGTGAGCAAATTACAAACATCACAGCTACTAATTATATGCTACATCAACTGCACCACAGCTAGGTGAAAATTCAAGTGTGCGTGTGCGTGTGCGTGTGCAAGCATGCGTGAGTAAGTTAGTGAGTGCGTGAATGAGTTGGTGAGTGCGTGAGTGTGTGTGTGCTTTATTGAGTGAACGCGAACATGCGTGCATGTATGAGCATGTGTGTGTGTGTGTGTGCGTGCGTGCGTGCGTGCGTGCGTGCGTGCGTGCGTGCGTGCGTGCGTGCGTGCGTGCGTGCGTGCGTGTGCGCGTGTGCTCGTGTGCGTGGGTACGTGCGTGAGTGCATGTGTGAGTGTTGTGTACGTGCATGCGTGAGTGAACGCGTGCGTGCGTGCGTGCGTGCGCGCATGCATAAGTTAGTTAATGAGTGCGTGCATGAGTTAGTGAGTGAGTGTGTGCATTTATGAGCATAAGAGCGTGTGTGGGTGCATGCGTATGTGCGTGCGTGCGTGCGTGCGTGCGTACGTGTATGAGCATGTGTGTTTGCGTGGGTGCATGCGTGCGTGCGTGCGTGCGAGCGTGCATGCGTGTGAGTGCATGTTTTGTACACATGTCACAGGCTTTCTTCTGAGGGAAAATTTGACAATGGCGGTAATGGCCAGTTTGGGGGAAAAACGCACATTATGGATTCAAAGGCGTGCAGTAGGCACGAATGTGGATTCTGCAGGCCGACGTGGGGGGAGAGAGGTAGAGGGGGGTTCTGGGAGTCTCCCCCAGCAAAATTTAAAAAATTTAAATGTCTGAGACTGCATTTGAGGCACCCCAAAAATAAAATTTCACCTTTTAGTTTAAATCTTACTCTGTTAGCAGACTCTATGCAAGCTCACGGCTGCGCATTTCGCGGGAGACTCACGCATCTCGACCCATGCTTCCGCACTCCCGCATGCTTATTGCTGTATATGTAAGGGTGGGCACCGCTGGTATGAGGGAGCGACAGCAAAACGTTCCTGGAATCGAGGAAAAAGCTGCAATCGGGAATGACACAGGAGTGTGCCGGCACCAAAAAGAAACGTTGCTGTGAATTTCATTACGATTTTCCATGTATATAGTCAGAAGCACGTGGTAATCTATTTATTTTTGGATTGACATTATTTTGACAACAGCGGGTATATACAGGAACATTTTCGCAACGGCGTTGTTAAATTTGACAACGGCGGTGCGCCGCAGTGCCTCCTATGTAGAAGAAACCCTGTGTCATATATTTCAGGGAACGCGCATGGGCGCGGAGGCAGTGCTAGCGCTGATGGACTCGGGAGCGGACATGCCGGCCAGCGTGATCGGTCTGTCTGGGAACCAGATCGTAAGAGTGCCGCTTGTGGAGTGCGTGGCCAAGGTGAGTACACATGCAGTAGTTCTTGTTGCAACAATGTCATAGTTGTTAGCTCTACAGGTAACTAGGATCCACTGCCAGTACCTATCGCCACCTATGTGATGTCTGTTTACTCATACCAGATATCAAATAATGTAAGTTTTCAGGCACCGACCTACATTTGTTAATACAATCGACCAAAACCGAACACAGATTACTCAAAAAGGTACTTAACTAAATCAGCTAACACGTAGTAGTAGTTGTAATTATCGTTATGCAGAGGATATTGTCGTTCTTTTCAGACAAAGGCTGTGCAGAAAGCTATGGATCATAAGAAGTTTGAGCTAGCCCAGCAGCTGAGAGGAAGGCAAGTGCTAGGCACCTAGTCAGTAGGGTTATTACTGAAACGTGAATCTATAAACATCTTATGAAATATAATGCAGTTTTCACATGTTCTGGCATGTATGTTAACCCAAAGCACTTGTCACTGACTAAAACCAGGCGTTCTTGTTGTGTTGAGACCTGGTGTTTTCGTTACACTGTTCTACTCTGCGGTCAAATGTTCTCATTGCATTTTAATGCTGTCATCATGTGTTCGCTTTCTATCTGTATGCTGTGATCAAGTGCTTTGATTGTACCTGTCCGTTCCGCGCGTGTGTTCCAATTGTGCACAGCTGCTATGGTGAGATGTTCTCATTCTCCCCATATGCTGTGATTTTGTGTGTTTTTATTGTACTTATTGTATTTTATTGTGTTTTTTGTGTGTTCTTATTGCAATGTTTGCTGCGAGAGGACGTTCTGATCAAACCGTTTTGCGGCAAGCAGGCGGTTTGATTGTACGGTTTTGCCGCGAGCAGCGGGTTTTGATTGCAGCCTTTGTTGCCCTAAGCAGGCATCTCTGATTGTACGTGTACCTGTGAGCTAACTCGACAGCTTGACGTTCATTTGCAGGAGTTTCCTTAACAACCTCGCAGCTTACAAAAAACTGAGCAAACTTCATCCTCCCGCTACCTCGTGCGACCCAACGGGTACAACCTGTGTTGTGAGTGTGAAATCTCGTTGCATCTCTCGCGCGTTTAATTCGTCGTGTTCGGCGCGTACTTTTCGCTTCGCATTGCGTTCGCATCCGGCAACTTCGTTTTCGTGGCCGGAGCTTCGCGTTTTTTAGTGTCAACAACGTAGCTTTAAATGTCTGCAATTTACAGAACTGCAAACATTGTCATGGCCCTTACAGAGAGTAAGGTATCTAGCCCCCCATGTTAGACTGATTCCAAGGGCTTTGTCGCTTTGCTTGCTAAGGACTTGTGTACATCTCCATATAAACCTGGAACAATAAGGACAAAAAAATGTTGAAAACAAATCACAATGAGCTTTTAAAAATTAATTTGTTTACAAAACTTTGAATGATGCAACAAAATTTTCCTCTGCTGACCAGTGAATAACGTTGGCACACAAACAAACAATGGGGTGCTGTGTAGTAGGAACACTTTAATATACGTCATAATAATTATATCAAGTTATAAAATTAATTCTAACAACGAGGTTCCAGTCATGAGAAATAAATACCACAACCTGAAGCTCAATCATTAACGACCCTAGTGTGGTTTTGCATTCACGAAAAAAAAATAAAGAAAATATGTCAGGCTCTTGTTCCACAAATTTTTGTACACTAGTCGTGTTGCATCTTCTGCCTATTCTCGTTGCAGACATTGGTCTAGTCTTTGGCCCCACTGAAGAGAACAAAATGGGCTCCTTTATTTTATATAGCAATGAGTCGGTGGCAATTAAAGTGAAGAAAATTGCACACACTGTATCAATTCAACAATAAAAACATTTTATGTACAAAAATGTCGGCCTACCTACCTACCTAACCTAACTTTTACGTCATGGTAATCGAAAACACACCTAGATCTTTTGCTTGGCCCGAGCGTGCAATTGCGTGAAGATGCTGTGATGTACGTGTCGCATGATGCATTAGGAATCGCCTACCATTCTCTGTGAGTTAACGTTGACCTGTGTGTCGTCGTACAGATGCCACAGAGGCTGGCCGTGATGTGCGTAGGAGCGCCGGCGGGAGGTATGAACCCTACCATAAGAGCGTTTGCACGACTCGCGATGTTCCAGGGCTACTCTGTCATGGGAATTTACGGCGGCTGCACGGGAGCCGCTAAAGGAGAGGTGAGCATTGATTAGGAGAGAGAGAGAGAGAGAGAGAGAGAGAGAGAGAGAGAGAGAGAGAGAGAGAGAGAGAGAGATAGAGATAGAGATAGAGATAGAGATAGAGAGATAGGTAGAGAGATAGATAGAGAGATAGAGAGAGAGATAGAGAGATAGAGAGATAGAGGGAGATAGAGAGAGGGAGAGGGAGATAGAGAGAGGGAGAGGGAGATGGAGAGGGAGAGGGGGACAGAGAGGGAGAGAGAGAGAGAGAGAGAGAGAGAGACATGAGAAACTGAGTAACTGAGGAAGTTCTCTTATAACTTGTATTTTAAGGCTACA